CAGCCTGATAAGTTGTAGATAGCCCTGTCACACAATTCAGTTTGCTGACAGAGGATGCTCAAATAAAGGAAGATGATCTACCTAGTGCAACCCCACCAAAGGGTATGTCAAGTGAAAGGAAATGGCACCTTTATTGAGTACCGTAAATCCTTAAATAGAAGCCACATTTGAATAAATGCCAGGGTAGCAATACAATTTAACTGTAAATATGCAACATTACTCCATGACTAACTTAGTAGTCTAGTGGATAATGTCTGAAGCTTCACAAGTCAAAAGCATGAGGATATGGGTTCGAATCCCGCTCTGGGCCAAATTTTTTTTATTATTAATATATTTTTTCGAGATCCAAATGCCATTTTAAGAAATAGATGGCCAGGCTTTTATTAAAGGAAATACGGTAATAAGATCATTTTGCAGATAGACATGCAAAGATGCCCACTTCCTGATGCACATCAACCAACGAAATTATCCCAACAATCAACACTAGGTGTAGACGATCCATCAGACCTTGCAATGGAGATCTAAGTACCATATTCTTCAAGCCAATCTTTAGAACCATCTGCAATGCAAAGAAAGTGCAATAATGGTAGTCAGTTTGGTCATAATAGGACTTTTCCACGCAATCAGTAAGAAAATAACAGAAATGACTTTGTGTAAGCACATACTATTAATTTACTTTGAACAATGGAGGAACTAGTTTGTTGACAACAAACAGGCTACTGATCCTCTGAAACTGGAATGGAACTACTTTAATAGCCAAACACTCAAACAATTGATCCCCTAAAACAGCAGTGGATCTAGGTTGAATGTCAAAAAATTCAAACTATGGATCCACTAAAGGAGAGGGACTAGTACGTAAAGCTAACACATACAAACTATGGATCCTCTTTCTTAAAACAAAGGTGTGGAACTAGTATGAACATGAGACGTCAACATCAACATAAACACTCATCTTTGTTTAAATATTCTATTTTCTATATAGTAACTAAATTACTACAAACTTCGATTACATTTTACACCAGGAGAACAGTGGATGTAACTTTCAATGACTAGTTACAGAGAAAATAAAGTGTTATTGAAGGTACATGCATCTCACAATGATTCCAAGATATCTGCTAGAGTTGGAATTGCTTTTATCATTTAAGAATGTAATCTAGATTTACTGTGCATTATTATCAAAACAAATCATTACAAATTAATCATTATATAGGAAAAGGTAAAGGAAAAACAGAAAAATCAGCCTTTCAATTCAATACTAGTTACCTGAGAAGCACAGTGAAGCAACAATTGGATCCAAATCTGGCCACGGTAAACCACCAACTGACGATAACTACCAACGCCTAGCTACCATGTCCCAAAGAAAACCATTGACTAACAAAAATTGACGTTTCATGAGTTTTTATATTGGCTTCCTGTCTTATAATATTTGTAGTTCAACATGCTGAGATATTATTGTACTTAGACCAGCAAACCACACCTCCCAAGTTTAATTAATTTACTATAGCACTCCACTGGTAACTTGGAGTATATCAGGTATCAACTCTATTGAGCACATTGTGAAATTCCTTTTTGCTAAATAGTGCTTTCTTGTTGAAGACCATCAATACATACAGTGTCTTAACTACTGTAACATTGAACATCAGTACATCCCAATATTGTACATAGTACTCCATGAGAAGGATTTGAAGAGGTCTCTAATACATGACTAGGAAGAGTGAATCAATAAAGCAAGCATATTAACGTGTTGAGGATGTACAAGAGTGAGAAAATGGAATTCATATAGCACTTGACTGAAGTGAAATAATTTAAGATATGCACCCGTATGAAAAAAAATAAGTATAAGCTGTAGAGTCTATGAAGAGAAGGAAAGAGAGAAAAGAAACGAGAAAAGAAACAGAAATGACTGTTAGTGTAATTAATATTATCGAGGAAAAGAAATGTTCATTAGTGAAATTTTGTTACGAAGAAAGCTACATATGGTCACACATTTTGTCATAAAAAGAGTCAGAGAACACCAAAAGGAAAAAATACCATATAATAACATGCAATACTTGTAAACATATAATTGACGTGTACAAAGAAAGTTTTGAAATCTAGCTTGATGCATCTATGAAGGACAATAAACAATAAAAACAATGTTTAATGGACCTTGTGCATTGAACATTCTAATTAACGCACACCTCTCAACTACTGTTTGATGGTGGATCTTTTAGTGAATAGCGGCTGACCTGTTTTCTTTTTTATCAAGTCATTCTTACTTTACGAGCCACTTTAAGCTATCTTTTTTTTTCATCACAATCTTTTTATTTCTCCTGCAAGCTCTTTGGTTGTGTGTTGGCTTTTTAACCAGTTTTTCATAGGCCTATTCTCACCCTTTGGCAAATCCCATTTTGGTAAATTTTGCTTCCAGAAGTCAGGGCGCCTGCGCCTCCATTGCTATGAAAACATGAGTGTATTCACCTGAGTCCTATAACTAAAAGTTACAACAAAAGTTCAAAAAAAGATTGAGTAAGATTTAGAGTATTCATTGGTCAAAAAAGTAATGGAAACAAGGACAAGTAGGATTCCAAACAACCAGTTATTCCAAACGACCGATTATTTCGAACGACTGACTACACCCACACGAACACAGAAATGAAATGAAAATCCTACTCTGGCGACACAAATTCTACAGTACATTGCAAGGTGATTTGTAATTTACTTACATAATAACATTAAAAGGACAATGTAGAGTTGAATTTGTGCCACAAGAGTAGGATTTCATTTGGTATTTTTCCTATGGGTATAGTTAGTTGTTCGGAAAAATCGGTTGTTTGAACTAATCGGTTGTTTGGCATCCTACTTGTCCTTGTTTCCATTTCTTTATTGACGGATTGATACTCTGAATCATACTCAATTTTTATTTATTTTTGTTACAACTTGTTTGTATTAATTTTTTTAGACATTTTATATTGATTCATCTTAGGAATAATAAGCTTTAAGGTGGTTTAATTAAAGTACAGTAATAAAAAATCAATTAAATCATATAACAACACGTTATTCTTAAATTAATTAAAGTATCTGTATCTTCCTCTTCCTCAGCCTTGGTAGCCTCCCGTTGTCCTTCCCACCCTGGCTGCTCTTCCTCTATGACTCGGTTGAATGTCCGGCTGGTCAATGGCCCCGTCTGCTACTCCCAGAATTCTGACTGAAAGCCTCATGATTATGACCTCCAGCTTGCTGACTGCAGTCATTGTTGTGACCAGGGACAGGCAGGACATAAATCCACTGTTCCCCGGCCAGTATCAAGTACGCCCCAAAAAGTCCTTCTGTGGGTAAAACTGATATTAGGGGGAGTACTAAAGGTTAATTGCTGGTAGTGGATGGATTGCTGGTAGTGGCCGATTTGCTTGTAATGGCTTGATTGCTTGTAGTGACTGGATTGCTGGTAGTGGCTGGATAGCTGGTAGTGGCTGGATTGCTAGTGATGGCTGGATTGCTGGTAGTGGCTGGATTCCGTGGATTGCTGGTAGTTGCTGGAATCAGTGGATTGCTGGTAGTGGCTGGATTGCTGGCATAGGCTATATTACTGGTAGTGCCTGGATTTCTGGTGGTGGCTGGATTCAGTGGATTTCTGGTAGTTGCTGGATTCAGTGGATTGCTGGTAGTGGCTGGATTGCTCATAGTGACTGGATTGCGGAGTGGCTGGATTGCTGGTAGTGGCTGGATTCAGTGGATTGCTGGTAGTGGCTGGATTGCTGGTAGTGACTTGATTGCTGGTGGTTGCTGGATTGCTGGTAGTGGCTGGATTCAGTGGATTGCTGGTAGTTGCTTGATTCAGTGGATTGCTGGTAGTTGCTGGATTGCTGGTAGTGGCTGGATTGCTGGTAGTGGCTGGATTGCTGGTAGTGGCTGGATTCAGTGGATTGCTGGTAGTGGCTGGATTGCTGGTAGTGGCTGGATTGCTGGTAGTGGCTGGATTGCTGGTAGTGGCTGGATTGCTGGTTGTGGCTGGATTGCTGGTAGTGGCTGAATTGCTGGTAGTTGCTGGATTGCTGGTGTTGGCTGGATTGCTGGTGGTGGCTGGATTCAGTGGATTGCTAGTAGTTGCTGGATTCAGTCGATTACTGGTAGTGGCTGGATTGCTGGTAGTTGCTGGATTCAGTGGATTGCTGGTAGTGGCTGGATTGCTGGTTGTGGCTGCATTGCTAGTAGTGGCTGGATTTCTGGTAGTGGCTGGATTGCTAGTAGTGGCTGGATTGCTGGTAGTGGTTGGATTGCTGGTAGTGGCTGGATTGCTGGTAGTTGCTGGATTTAGTGGATTGCTGAGAGCTGGATAGCTGGTAGTGGCTGGATTGCTGGTAGAGGCTGGATTGCTGATAGTGGCTGGATTTCTGGTAGTGGCTGTGGATAGCTGGTAGTTGCTGGATTCAGTGGATTGCTGGTAGTGGCTGGATTGCTGGTTGTGGCTGGATTGCTGGTTGTGGTTGCATTGCCAGTAGTGGCTGGATTTCTGGTAGTGGCTGGATTGCTGGTTGTGGCTAGATTGCGGGTAGTGGCTGGATTGCCGGTAGTTGCTGGATTGCTGGTGGTGGCTGGATTCAGTGGATTGCTGGTAGTTGCTGGATTCAGTCGATTGCTGGTAGTGGCTGGATTGCTGGTAGTGGCTGGATTCAGTGGATTGCTGGATTCAGTGGATTGCTGGTAGTGGCTGGATTGCTTGTAGTTGCTAGATTGCTGATAGTGGCTGGATTGCTGGTAGTGGCTGGATTCAGTTGATTGCTTGTAGTGGCTAGATAGCTGGTAGTGGCTGGATTGCTGGTAGTGGCTGCATTCAGTGGATTGCTGGTAGTTGTTGGAATCAGTGGATTGCTGGTAGTGGCTGGATTGCTGGTAGAGGCTGGATTGCTGGTAGTGGCTGGATTTCTGGTAGTGGCTGGATTCAGTGGATTGCTGGTAGTTGCTGGCTTCAGTGGATTGCTGGTAGTGCCTGGATTGCTGGTAGTGGCTGGATTGCTGGTAGTGGTTGGAGTGTTGGTAGAAGTTTTGCCCTCCATCAGCCCATTAACCACCTCCACCACCTGCTGCTATTTTCTTTCAGTTAGATCATTATCAGTGCGGCCTATCCTTTCCGCTGCCTTCTTCCTCTCCTTTTTTCCCCTAACTGATAGTGATTCTGATAGCTATCTAGGCACTCTATTTATATATAGAATTGTTTAATAACTTAATAATAACTAGCTGCATTGTGAGAGGTCCTTTTCGTTATTGTGATTGGTTGCATGATAGGATAGATGGGTTGACATGTGCCATATCTCAAAGTCTAGTTAGAGTAAGTGTTTAACTGTGAAGTTAGGTTTCTGTCAGAAGTAGCAATTTTGTAACTTTTGACAGAAACTGAAATTCACAGTTCAACACTTAGCCTAATTAGCCTTTGGGATGGCACATGTTTCCATGTGTACAATAACAGTCTAATCATGTAATCTATACATTAATAGTGTATAGCAACTAAACTAACAAATTAAAAGTATAAATGTTATCAATCAAATTATAAGACATATGTTTTGAATCTTTTATTCAAAACAGAGAATGTGTACTGTGCTGCCACCCCTTCCTTGGTGAGGTCAAGTTGCTTCTATGAATGTGAAAGAGAGCAGTCTTAATATTAATAAAGTGCATAAAACAAGTGCATTTTATTTTCACATGTAATTCACACATTTTAACAACCATTATATACCACCATTACACTGCTGTGACATTACACTAATTAGGTTCTCTATTCCTTCTCCATGGTTATGAATCTTCTATCCTTTTATAAACAGTAACTGTGCAATAAACTGAGTGATAAAGTAAACATAATACCTTCCAGCTTTGTTGGCCAGTAGGGACAAATTTTATGTCCTAACTGTTGCCACCACTTCACAACAGTGAGGTCAAGCTGGTAACGAAGGGGACAAAGATGGCCATATAGCAATGTTAATAAACATTGTCTTAAGATTAATTACATAATGTCAACGATGACATTTCATGCATGATTACTTAATTTATTTCTTATGGCTAATGTCACTGTGTCTTATTCATTATTTATCTTATTATGGCCAATATGACAGTGCCTTCTTAATTATTTCTTATTTCTTATGGCATAAATTATTGATTCATATTATGGCCAATAAGACAGTGCCTTATTCATTATTATTTAATATTACTTAAGCCAATAATAGACAGTGTCCCAATCTCATTCTTAATTATTTTTGTATTTGTTATGGCAAATATGACAGGGTTTTAATTACAAACCATTATACTCTGTCTCATGTTTTATGGACTACTTCTTTACATGTATTATGGCTATTATTTCTTCATTACAAGGTAAGACTATTACTATGACACTGCTTTAGTAATCTGTCATTTTAAGCTTTGGCCAACATGACACTGTCCCATTATGATTAATTATGGCTAACATGACACTCCTCAATAATAATTCATTTTAAGCTATGGCCAATATGACACTTCCTTGAGCATTGAATTACTATTGGCACAACAAATACAGTACTTAGTTGAGACAACGAGGCCTTGCAATTGCAATACAGGTCAACTGTGTTGTCATTGTACAGCAATCGTGTGATGGGTGTGATAAAGTGCACTGGTGTATTCATAAAGCGGGGGTAAGAAAATTATGGTAATATGGTGTAAAAGCCATCAGGTAACACTTGACAATAAAGATCATAACTTTAACTAAGGCCGTTATAATTAGATTCATTGTTTCTCGTCCCCGCCCGCATATTAATCTGTTGCGCGCCAATTTTCTGTTATTGTAACTTTACTAACTTATTGATTCTTATTGAATACCGAATTTTGTCAGCTAGAGTGTCAGCAACTTTTCCTCATCTTTTTCAAGGTATGTAGTTGTTAAAACTACATA